CGCTCTTCCTTGATTTTGAAGCCCTTGGGATCAGGATGACAACCACTGACATAGTGCTCCTCTAAATCAATTCCTATTTGAACAAGAGCACCTTTTACAGAAAAAAGCATGCAGTCTCAAAAACTTTAACTTCCAGTTATTTGTTCCTGCCATGCCATCTGAGGGCATTTATTTCAGCATTCAGGTTTGCTGTGGTACCACCACGTTCACTACCTTCTCTTTTTTTGTTGGGGTGGGGGTTTTTTTCTCTCCCACGTTTGTGAAATGTCTAATCCAGGAGCTGACTACATTTCTTTTCACTGCCACAGGCCCCACGCTGCAGCAAATGAAGCCAGTAAATTCTAGCGCAGCGTAGCTGGCACCCACCAGCCTGAACCTCAGATGTCCTGCGGGCCTGAGGCTTGCCCAGTGCCTCCAGCCTCGGCACCCTGCCTCGCAGCTCTCCCATTCTCATATATCCCAGCAGCTGGACATTAATAGGCTAGCACATTTTCAGGGAGGAGAAGAAGGTGCACGAAAATTGCTTGGGCCAGTGCTTGTCTGCAGCATTGGGATGCAGAGGAATACCGCAGTAATGGTCAGACTGATGTCACACTGACTGTTTCGGGTGTCTTGAAAATTTTGGGACATACACATACTACGAATAGGAGGATTCAAAACTCAGCATTTGCTGTAACAGTAAAAGTCATCTGGAAGAATTACGAACAGAGCAGTGCTTGATGTTCAACATAGCATATATAATCTAGGTGGTGTGGGCACGTGCATTTTATCTGTATCGTGATACTAAAGTCCTTCAATGAAATGTGAAAGCATAATGGTATTTGCAACAACCAAGATTTTCCTCCATAACATTTCTAAAATTACCAGGAAAATACTTTCTGTTGTGAAGTGTTCCTTCCCCAGCTAACATCAAAGCAGCTCCCTCTAAAATACCAGTAAAGAGCTGAATGCAGAAGATCATGTAAGAAAAAGGATATATTTTGTGGACAGAGCTTCAAGGCGTGAGGTGACTGAGTCCTGCAGGGCAGCTATGGCTTCACACTTACAGGATTCTTCAGTTGTTACGAGACTGCTCGTTATGGCTCCTAAGAGAGAAAACAGCATTTAGAATATTTATGACAATTATCGAACATTTAAATCCCAGGAAAATGCTCGATTCTGCAATGGGAGTTGAACTCATGCTATGAGACTACAGTCAGCACTGCAACCCATGGCCGTCGAGAAGGAAGGACAGCAATGACCAGGGGCAGGTGTGCAGCCAGAGATACGAGTGACATAGTCCAGAAACAGCGCAGGCAAGAGAGAGCTTAACTCTAACTGAGGAAGAAGCAGAGCGGGGAGTTCCTCACCTGCCTACCTGGATCCTCTGCATCCTTTAAATTAGACCATTATTGAACAAAATATAAAAAGAGGCCTGGGTGCAGGGACCAGCCAGCCTCCCCCATCAACTATGATTGTTAGACTACAGTGAATCTTCCCTTCGCCTGCTATCATCTCCCCCTCTCATCCAGAATATCCCCCAGCCCAAAACGTAGGGCACCCTGGGAAATAAAATGAGTCTGTTCAAGTGATATGGACTGAGAAGAACCTGCAGTCCAGGTCTCCATCTTTTAAGTAGTACTTTGACCATCAGACTATCCACACAGAAGGCTACTGGCATCACTGGAAACAGAATCTATTCATGGCTTTATTTAAGGCCATGACTAACTTATTGGGCGTCTCTTCAGAAGAATCATTGAATCACAAAACAGTTTGTGTTGGAAAGGATCTTAAAGATCATCGAGTTCCAACTCCGCTGCCATAGACGGGGACACCTTCCACTAGACCAGGTTGCCCAAAGCCCCATCCAACCTGGCCTTGAACACTTCCCGGGAGGGGGCAGCCACAACTTCTCTGGGCAACCTGTTCCAGTGTCTCACCACCCTCATCGTAAAGGAGTTCTTCCTCAAATCTCAATGTATCTAAATAGAATCTAAATCTATCTATCTATACAAAATCAAGGTTGCTGCCCTATCAAAGCTGGATTGTAATGGCATTTGGGGTTCCCATCACTCCCAAACACAGCACTTCTGAGAATGCGTTAATCCAAAGTTAAGCCTCCAGCAGTTTTGCAAGCCAAGCAGGAAGGCACATAGTGATTTTAGGCACCTAAACAGTCAGTCAGTGTCAGAAATTGGTCAGTTTGCATCAGTTTCTGAGATGTGGGTGGAACTTAGATACCTAAGTCTCAGCTTGGGAAGGAATTAGAAGAATTGAATTTACCACTTGATAAATAATACAAAAATGAAAGCAGGAACATATGTATTAATTTTAAATACTAAGCAATAAGGTTCAGCTAAATCATCAATGTGCATCACCCCACAAGTACTCTTGGTTTGTAACATTGGCAATACGCATGCATAGGGAGTATCATTTTTGATTCATCAAGAGGTGTGAACACAAGTCCATTCCAATGTCACATGAATATGGATGGAGGGAACAGCAACATTCAAATAGGCCCAAATTAATTTCAAATCTAGTAGAAAGGCACAGCAATATTAATGGAGGAGCCAGTTAGTATGTCAGAGAAGTCATCAATCTCTTAGAGAAAGCAAACATTGCCATACTGCACAGTGGTTCCACTAAATCTGTTCCTAGGTCTTGCCCTCAGCCTTCCAGACTTACAGGGGACCAGCCTCAGCTGTCCTCAAGAATCCCTTTTTCTCCATAATCCACCACAAAGCCAGGGATGATCACAAAGGGCATAGAAAGATGATAATTTCATTGTGGTATAATAATGTCACATATCAGCTGATGGCTGTGAGTTCATAGCTACATGAAAGGCAATTTAACCTTACCTACTCCATAAAGAAAACAGGAGTTAAGGCAAGCTGCACCACTTGCTGCAGGCTAAGAACAAACATATCAACAGCTACTGAAGCACAGGTACCATAGTGTGATTGCCATCTACATCTGAGACCAGAATAATAAGCTTCCAAAGGCAGAGCCTTCTTAAAAGAGGGCCTACAATTATGAAATACCCTTTCAACAAGTTGTGAAGAGGTATTACTTGTATGTAATACCTGTCTCTTGATACACGTGTTTTTACATTGCTTGCAAAGGCAACAACAGCAGATTATTCAATTATTTTTTTCTGTAGATATATAAATGCATAGTTGATCAATGCCAAACAAATTATGTGAGCATTAGAACAGTAAAACAATAGAAACATTATACCTGGATACAATTTCTCTTTTTTTCTGGAATTGTTTTGGTTTCTTTTTTTGTTAATCAGTCATGTCATTGATATTTCCATTTTGCAGGGAAACTGCAAAATCTGTGAACAGATTCATTTCTAGCAGTGCAGAAATTCATTTGTCTTAGAGCCAATGTTGAAACTGGTGTCACCTTGATTCCACGCACTGAACCTGTATTTGTTCAGCTCCCTTCTTTAGAATGTTCCACCAGCTTTATGGTCGATGTACAAAGAAGAGCTGTTCAAGAGTCAGCTGGAGGAAGGCCAGTTCAAAATATCACACCAACATGGTTGGTTTCCAACCAACTCCCAGTTAATTTTTTATGTTTGCATTTAAATTCTCCAATGACAGATACAGATCCTCCTTGGATTATGTCTGTTTTAACAAAATTACTTTTCCAACCAACTTTGTCAACTGTCCAAGGGTACCCTGAAGTCTTCTACAGTCCTGTGAAATTTACAGTCTTCTAGTATTTGATATTCAAAATATTGGACACTCCCATTGCCACTGCGATGTCCAACAAGTCACACAAAACATGCTAGAGTTATGTTTCTACACTGCATTTATGTTTAAATCCAGACCTACAAAAAATTACTATTTTTGCAGATGGTGTTTGGCTATATCCACCTATTTTGTAACTTGCTCTTACGCAGGGTCCTTAGCCACTTGATGTAATGGCAAGTTATTCCTGCTCTGAACCAGAGATCAGACTAGATACGTGTTGAGGTCCCTTCCAGCCCAACTTTATGTATGATTCCACATCAAATGGTGCAGAGGTTCTGCCAACTGTTGATGCCATTATTGCCCATCTGAAGGGAAAATAGTTGGTGAGTTCATGCCCGCCCCACTCAGCTTGGAGGAGTGGACAAGAACACATGGTTTGGCATTGCAGCCGTTCTTCTGACACCAGTTCTGTTCCCCTCTGGCCTCCCACCATCCTCCAAATGCTGGTACTCAATTGAGTCCCATGCCCCAGAGACAGATGCCCCAGAACCCTGCTTTGCCAATCCTCCCAATTATTCCCATTTCATAAGGAAATGCAGATCATAACTGATTTATTTTTTTTAAATACGGTGAGGTCCTTAAATGTGTGGTGAATGGTAAGAGTCGACTGTAGTTTTAAATATAGTAACTGCTATAACTAAACAAGAAGGATCAAACTAGTTCAAAACATTAGTGGAAACAGGCAGAAAGAATAAAAAGGGATTATACTTTCAGGGAGTTTGTGAGTTGATAGAATGTTTCTCAAACAGATTAAAGGGATTTAACACAATAAAGAGATGTACTTCAATAAATATATTCAGAAAAAAAACACATTAAATTATTACTTGAGCATGTTTTCTCATCTGGATTTAAGGTAAAGCCTTCATAGCAGTCACAGGCATACGATCCACCATTGCTCACACAGACCTGCTCACAGTCGTGGGTTCCTGGTGCACACACGTCAGTTCCTACAGAGCACGTTTTGGAGAAACAGTTATCCGAAAACAAGATAACTTTTTTTTAAATCCTTCCCAGTGGCAATGCTTTTACATGCTGGGAGCCTGTCTTATGTGAATCTTACCAGGAACTACTGAGACGTGAACTGCTCTTGCCTTGGGGCAGCGAGATGAACTAACTGCCTCACCGCGGTCTCCCTCAGTCCTTACTTTGTACAGCCTACAGCTTCCAGTACACAGTAACCTTACAGTAAGGAGACCGGGAAGGAAGGAAACACTTCTACATAGTAAAAATGATTACATTTTTACTATAACACAAAGTTGCTGAGACACTAAAGAAACAAATGGCAAAATGAAATTCGGCCCTGAGGGGAGGACATCACCTCAAGCTGTCTCCTGCACGGTGGTACACAGTTCCCACAGTACTGCGAAGTGTGTGACTGAGTGACTAACCCCAGCTCACCTCTCTTCAATTATTTCTCAGTTCTAGGTTTGCTGAATATTGCATATTTTCTTAAATACATTGAAGGTCTCAGTTATAAGATGATAAAGAAAGATCAAATGGCAGGCAGTTATTAGCATTGTTGCATATAAAATGCTTTGTATCTCTGAATGTTGCCCGAAGTGGAAAAGGCAGAGTGACAAAGAACTGTCTCATAACACTTGAATGCATGTGAAAGTTTCTCAAACAGATCCAGATACATTAACCTGCTAATAAGAGCTATGTTAATACATGTACTTAGCTGGGGAGGGTATGGGGACAGGGAACAGCAATCTGCTCTTACGTGAGCAAGTCTTCTTGTCTGGATTCAGGGTGTAGCCTTGGTAGCAGTCGCAGGTATAGAACAGATCATCTCTCACGCAGACCTGCTCACAGTCATGCCTTCCAGGTGCACACATGTCGACAGCTGAGGAAGGTGTTTGAGAAAAGAAGATTAACCAACACCCAAACTTCAGTAATTCCCATTTGCAAACATATCTTCATTTGGATTCAAACCAGGATGTTTTTACTGCATGTCAGTATATTAGCCGTGGGAGGGTATACAGAGTGTGGTTTTATCTGGCTATCAACATCACAAAATTAATACAATTTTTGGAACACTGGCAACATTTGTTTGCAGTTGTAACAAATTGCAAAAGGAACTGAACTAGCAGTGACCCAGTTACAAAATAATGACCTAAAGGAATTTCAGAGAACAAATATCTGGATTTTAAGAGAGTATTTGGCATTATTTCAGCTCTAATTGAGTTGGCTAAGACACTGTTTTATGGAGTGAAAAGACCATAAACAGAGGAGTATACACGGCTGTGGAAAAAAAAGAGACGTGGCACCCGCTGCCAGTTACAAAGTGGGCACTTGATGTGTGAGGCTGATGTTTTCTGCCAAATTTAACACGTCAACTCTGAAAGCCCAAGCTGAGAAGGGGTTCCTATATTTGGATATCTTTGCAGTAAGAAGGTGCAGTAAGGCACAAGCAAAGAAAGAATGAAGAGAGAGAAAGGGAGAAAGAGAGAAAGAGAAAAAGAGAAAGAGAAAGGAAGAGAGGAAGAAAGAGATAAAGAGGAAAAGGAAGAGAGAGGAAGAGAGAGGAAGAAAGAAGAGAAGAGAAGAGAAGAGAAGAGAAGAGAAGAGAAGAGAAGAGAAGAGAAGAGAAGAGAAGAGAAGAGAAGAGAAGAGAAGAGAAGAGAAGAGAAGAGAAGAGAAGAGAAGAGAAGAGAAGAGAAGAGAAGAGAAGAGAAGAGAAGAGAAGGGAAGAGAAAAGAGGGGAAAGAGGGAAAAAGGGGGGAAAAGGGGGAAAAGGGGGAGGGCAAGGGGATTCTTTCCTGGACCTAGACTATTTTTATTATATCACGAAGAACTGGTTGGTTGAGAAATCATTAGCAGCCTATTGCAAAATGAGATTCAGAAGAAAGAAAACAAGCAAGCATGTTAGGGAAGTAATCTGGAATTTGACTATGCCAGGGGAGAATCAGTGCTATGAAAGGAGGTTTAGGATTGGACTCCCAAAGAGGGGACCTAACTGAATTCACATTCTCTCACAGATGTTTATTGCCTCTGTATCATGCCAGGTGAGAATTAATCTTAGGAACTGTATTTACAAAATCAGCTCCTAAACTAGGCAGGAATAAATATTGAGGCCTTCTGGCTTCACCTCTTTGAGATGCGAGACCTATGACTTCATTGGAGAGATTTGCCTGGGAATGTCCTGGAACTGGAAGCCTAGGTTCAGTGCTTTGTCACAGAAAATGTAGTGAGGAAAGGGATTATGATGAAAGTGGAAAAATGGATTTTGTGTAAATAAATCATCAAAGAGACATCCAAAGAAATAAGCCATGTTCAAATCCTAATTAAATGAAAATGGTAGAGAATACATATTAATTTGTAGGTACTATGTATTTATATATACATCCTTAAGTACCAGCTACGTCTATGCTCCTATTATCCACAAGAGATCAGATCCTCTAGAGCTCTAAGGCTGGAGTATTTTTTAAGGTCCAAACACATCCACCAGAAAGAGCGATCACACTCATGATGACACAGACTGTAGTCTCTCTCCCAGCATAGCCCTTCTCTTCTTCACATCATTGCCTTGTGCTCCTTTCTGAAGAGTTTTCTGACACAGGTAGCGCGCATCACATATTCCCACCAAATATATTGTCCTTCTCCTCTCTCAGGTGATGCGGTGGTGCAACTCCTCCTGCCTTAAGCCGCTCGGTACTTGGTGCAATTTCTCCCCCCTTCCCTGGGCCACTGCCAGGGCAGCAGAGCAGACGTTAAGGCACCCCTTGACGTGCCTGGCTCCTGCTTCGCTTGGGAACGGCAGCAGCCTGTACAGCTGTACTTGGATCACAGTGCTCTTGCTCCCCAACCTCCTGTTGTTTGGGAACAACAGTGACAATCAATCACCTCCGGACAGCCTGGTACACCTGTATCTGGGTTGTGACCCAAAAGGGGGGTGATGCCAGAAAAGTCCTGAGTCTGCGCAACTGATGGAAAGTACCAGAATATTTCGCCATCCAAGCTGGGCCAAAGTGGAAGGGCACCTGACAAAAGTCAATTATCACGGGTCCGATAGTGATTCTAAGTGAGACCCTTTGAACTCTCCTGGATCACAGCGGGCTGTGACCAGCATCTCCCCTGAGCTGGGGTGCCTCTCAGGCACAAACTCCTCGAGGACCGTATGCTGACGGAAGACCAAGGCAAAGTCAGCTTCTCAAGTCTCAACCATCGCCCCCTGAGTTGTGAGTATTTACTCTAAACTCAAGGAGGGAAATTTTAACTACAAGCCAGTTTCCTTCATCCACCTCCCTACCTATCTATGTGTTTAAATATACACATTTGCTTTCATGAGTGTGAGTGACATATATCACTGGGCCCAAATATTTCTGGCTGTCTGTGTGTACCTGCATGTTTTATGTTTATATGTGTGTGTGTGTGTATATATATATAAACTTTGATTTAAGACACCTTGCAGTAAGTTAGTGTAAATCTTGTCATCTTCTAATCTGTAATTAAGTCACTGTTTTGATCATAATATATTTACTGAATTACTTGTAAATCTTTAAATTAGTTAATCATTGAGTGCTGCTGCTAAAATTCAACCTTTGATTTAACTCATCCTATTAATAAAGTTTGAATTGACCAAATCGTAACCATGTCAAACTCCTCCATCAGCGACAGGTGGATATGGCAATTTGTGGTTCATAGGTGTGAAAATACTGTGAAGTCCTCAGGGAAATGCCAAACGGCATTTTCATTATAGCAATTGCAAGCTCCACACAACTGTAGAGGAGTCATGGGTCTCAAATTATTCCTGGACACACAAAGAAATAAAGTTGCACTGTGTTTTCAGGAGTTGTACAGAAACTCTTGGATAATTTATCAGAAAAATAACAGAAATTAACCTGATTTTTTAAAGCTACTTGCTTTTAGCTAAATACAATATTTCCTTGATCAGGTCTTACCTGAGCAAGTCTTCTTATCTGGATTCAGAGTGTATCCTTCAAAGCAATCACAGCTGTAGGATCCATCGTTACTCAGACAGACTTGTGCACAATCATGCCTTCCAGATGCGCACATGTCCATGGCTGTGGTGAACCAGGTTTTAGAGAAAAAAAGCTATTAATCCCTCCCAGACACTCAAGCATTCTAAATACTTCAACTTTTATAAATACAATTTAATTCAGGTTCAAATAAGAATTCAATTAGTGCCCTACTACATTATTATATTATGCTGCAGAGAAGTGAATTTAGTTACTAATTATTTAATAGGCAGATACCTGGACTCTAAGACATTACTATACCATATCTCATGCAATTCTGATCTTCATCAACAATTCTAACAGTCCTGAATATCCCCAGTAAGGCTGAAGCTAAAACACCATACCGAGATGACCTGCCGCACATCAAGGCAGTTGTTTCTTGCAGTGTTAGCAGTAACTATGGTGAATCAAAACTTAACTTCATACTTTCATCCATGAGCTGAAGGCAGGCACAAAAAGCCAGGTGTGATATGTAGAAATGCTATTAAATAGCTAAGAAATATAAAGCCTAGTGAGAACAAAAGCAAACAAAATAAAACCAGAGGAGCACTAGAAGATTATGGAATTCATAATTATGGATTCACTCTCTTCAGGAATAAGAAGAGTGAAAACTTTGGTGAAAAGAATGCTTATGTGCTCTCAAAGGGAGGGATGCACTTACCAGTTGTAAAATAGTTACCCTAAGGCTAGTGCTGCTGAAAACTTCTGGATTTAAAGAAACACCTCCAGAGAAATATTTGGGGAAAAAAGCTTTTATAACAGGCTAACTTGTTAGGGTGACAATTCAAGAAGCTGCTGCTGATATAAGATTGGGGCTGCTATATTGCAGATCCCTGCACAGCTTGGAAGCAGAAGCAGCAAGCTGTAAAAAAAAAAAAAAAAAAGAGTTTTGACAGGAGAGATGGGAGCACAGGGGAAAATCATCAGGTTTTAAGTTCTGTATGGACTAGCGGCACTCGCTGTCCAATGGAGACACTGCTGGCGGGCATCTCTGGAATAGGTTCATCCTCTTCCAGGGACTAAGTGATGTTTATAAAGTACTGTGAAGACCATAAAATGGTAGGTAAGTGCCAAATTGCATTTTTGTAATCAACACCTTTAAAGAAAAATGCAATTTTACTGTTACCGGAACCAATGGGAAAGTCTACAGGTGAATTCTCATTTTAAAAGTCAATGTCTGTAAGCAATTAGAAACGATGAAGGTAAATCACAGAAAACGTGTCCATGCCTCCACGAGTTTCATATATTAAAGCAGCCTTTAATTCTTACCTGAGCAAGTTTTCTTATCTGGATTCAGGGAGTAGCCTTCGTAGCATTCACAGACGTAGGATCCATTGTTACTCACACAGAGCTGATCACACTCATGCCTGCCAGGTGCACACATGTCCACAGCTGCAAGACACGTGTGAGAGAAACAATTCATTGTTAATAAAAAGTAGTTTGGGACAGAGTACATATTCACATTTTTTAATATATTTGGAGTCTATTCAGATATTCCAGATATCTATTCGGAGTCAGCTCAGAAATGGCCATAGTAATTGAAGGAATTAGAATAAGTGGTAGGAGAAAAAATATCTATGTAGTGTCTACATCTGAAGCCTTTGTTGTGGCATCTGGCCCTAATGAATGGGTCTGTAGGCATAATAAAAAGGATGGTGATGGAATCGATCTACTTCTCACCATTACCTGCAGCAGACATTTATTTATTATTTATTGTTAGATTATCATTATTATTATTATTGAAGGAGATACAGATGTTCACTCTTTCAACAGAAGTACACAAGTAGCTTCTCAAATCCAATTATAGTGTTAAAAAGTGATTTTTTTTTCCTAGCTGAACATATTTACTGAAGGAGTAATACCTGAGCAGGTTCTCTTATCTGGATTGAGAGTGTAGCCTTCGTAGCAGTCACAAAGGTAGGATCCGCCGTTACTCACGCAGACCTGCTCGCAGTCATGGGTCCCAAGCGCACACACATTCGCAGCTGCAAAGGGCATTTACAGAAAAGGCATTTCAGTCATCCCAAAGGAAAGAAACAGTCATTAATAATTTATGCCTACAAAAGTACATCTTGCACTGTTTGCTGGATTAGTAGTAGTAAATGTCAGTGCTATGTCACCGTCACAAAAAGTTACAGGCATCTTTTGCATCATTCTGTAGCCAGAAGAAAGCTCATAAACGACACTGGAACAACTGCCCTGAAGTAACTCACCACCTGAGGTGGCAGAAAGACAAGATGAATTGAAAAGGGTGCAACAGGGAGAGAGAGATTTTAAGCGTTTAGTAACATTACACTGGAAATGAAAACTTGGCAAAGAAAAGGACCTTCTGGTTTTTTGTATCCAGTCCTTTTCTGTTACAGACAACCAGTTTAAATAACCCCAAGATGTGTCAGTCACTGTCTGGCAACTTGCTAAGTTCTGCTCACTGGTGTACAACCTGATTTATGAATTCCTACTGCACTCCAAAAAAATCCATAGGAAGGGGAGGGGAGGGGAGGGGAGGAAGGAGAAGAACATCAAGACCAGGAGGAAGAGAAAAATTACTCAGAGGCGCAAGGATAACACACTGTCTTCTCGGGGATGAAAAGCCTGTCTGTGTAATGACGATCCAGATGTATCAGCCAGCGAAGAGACCCACCAAATGAGTACGTGAGGGCCACGGCTGCCTTGTTCCACCAGGTTTAAAAAGTCAAGACCAAAAGAGGATATGGAGGATAGTTTCTACAGGCATGTGATCCTCCTAATTGAAGGGACAGTACAGAAATAATGTCCAAACCTCAGAGAACTGAGAAGCTGAAACAGCAAACTACAAAATGAGATTCAATTTTCAGGGACCAGCTAATTCCCGAGCAATCAGTAAGGCTATCTCATCAGACTGAGAAAGCAGAAAACAGCGATACGAAAAGCAACGGGACGGATGGCAGCTGATAGAAGTGTGTGGTGGTGACAGGGCAGACAAAATGCCTGTTCCAACACTGCAATGCACTGTGTGTGCTGACAGTCTTTTCCTTCACAGATGGTCTAACCACAGAACTGATTAACTTCTGACCAGTTTTTCTCAAGTGTATTTAGCTTTGGATCTGCTGCTTCTTTGGTCACCTCAAGATGCCCCTGTTTCTCTCCATAGACTGTAAAGTAAACAGATAATCACTTAAACTTAGATGATTTTTAGACAGCTACATTTAGATGAGGGGAAAAAGGAGAGAGGGAAGGGGGGAGAAAAAAGGTGGAGGAAAATAGTGGGAAGGGGAATAAAGGGGGAATGGAAGGAAAGAAAGAAGGAGGAAACAAAAGGGAAAAGGACAAAAATGGGAAGACAAGTCTGTTATTACCTGAGATTTTATCTAGGTGAGTAGTTACAATGTGGGTATGGACTACTGGTAAAATCAAACTCCAAAGCAATAGTGGTGAGATAAGAAATGAGAAGCAAGAGTGCTCGAATCTTCTCATGTATCTCTGAATGCAAAGGAATTATTTCCCATTTTCTAAAACATTGTCAGACTTAGATGTCCCCTAATAAGGCTGATGATAGAAATTGTGTCTTGCTTTTCCATTGGTAAAAACAAATCTCAAACCAAGACAGCATCTTTTCACTCAGCTACACCTTTGGGAATAAGAGAATTCATCTCCATAACTTATGAACAAAATCTGTGGGTGATATTTTCAAGCATAACTGAGAAGCTCAGACTCAAACAGTCAGATTTTTGTGGTAGGAAAGTCAAGCCTCCCCTAACTTGGACACCAATTCAAGGCTAAGAATTTCCATCTCCAGGATGGTCTCATGTTGAATGATGCTCTCAATGCATCAAGAACTTGATCTTAGCCAACTATTTTGCCCCTGAACATTAGTTTTCCTGTTTTCAGTACACCCTACGAACAAATTTATTTGCCTTGGCCAAAGCAAAGAAAATCCTAATTGTCACTGGTGAGTCTAGATTTCTGACCAAAAAGCAGTCTGGAGCTGGAAAAGACCCAGTTTACCCACACTGTCTTACAAGACTCTCTTAGACTCATTTGGTTTGTAGGAACCATTTTAAATACTATTCCCTTGACCCTGTTCTTGTTCTTGAATCCCACAGATGCTGGCTAATTGCATGCAGGGAACTCAGAGTTACACTGGAAGTGTGTATGTGTGAGCTCTCTTTGGTTATCCTCCAGCTTAGTGGGGGCATAATTTCTATGCTTTGGCACAATAAACAGTAAGTTTACTCTTAAGAACAAGAGATTTTTCTTTGGTGCTATGAAAGGACTTGGTTTGGCGAGAACATCGGTGGAAAATCGGTGCTATGTTCACAGCACACATACCTGTCCAGCTAGGTGGGCGCTTGTACCCACCCCCAGCTACCAGAGAGAGGATGTGGTCGCATCAGCAACACAACATGATGTCAAGCCAAACCTCAAGGCATTTCCTATGTTAATTATTGGGCAAAGTGTCCCGTCTACAGATGGTCCTACACATTTATTTCGTACCTAGATAAAGAGGTCTATTCACTCTAAACTTATTCAAAAGGTATGGTGGTAAGTTTTAGTGAGGCTCCGAAATAACAAGGTAACACATCGCCAACCAAGTTCCCAAGGTGATGGCTGTTATTTTAATTCTCTCACAATGTTCTTTACACCTAATTTTACCCATTGCTTGCTGAAGATTTATTTTACAAGTAATTTCCTTAGAAATTTACTAGAAAAATCTATTTTATATAAGTTTTTTAATTATCAAAAAGTCATCATTTGATTTTTGTGGGTAGGGCTGTGGCATAGCTATCTGTAGGAAGTTCTAAATACTCCAGATACATGACCTTTTTTTTTTTCTGTAAATGACAATATGAACCCAACTGGCCCTGTGTTGTTAGTGGAATTCTAGCTCAAACCAAATACATATCGAACATTTTTCCAAGACCAGTCCTGAAAAAGCAAAGCTAATTCAACCCATCCCACAGTTCCCTGTCTAAATCGAGTTGCAGAGAAACAGAGAAAAGTGTGAGTCTGGCACACTGAAGAAGCCCAGCAAGCCTGCAGAGTGAAAGCCCATCCCGAGATGACCTGCCGTTGTGTTGGGGCTCTTCATCCTGCACCAAATTTCTCAAGTTAGCAGTTCACCTGCCACACTGATTTTCCTACTCTGAATCTATAAGGAGCCCTTCAGCACCACACTTCCACCCTCCTTGCTTCCCAGCCAGATGGGAAAAGAAATGAGCAGACTGCACAGCTCCGGTGTGCGCTCTCGGCAGGTCAGTAAATAGACGTAGCCGAACCCCAGCCAGATCGCCGTGCTTTCTCTTGCACTAAATCGGACCAGCTGCACAAGGAGGTCCACTGAGATCAGGTCTGTTACTTGCATGGTAAGGTCGCTATTCAAAATTAAAGGTCATTACTTGGCCTCCACTGAATAAAAGAGTTGGCTTGTTTGCCCAACGGGTCGCAAAGGAAATATTTAAATGCAATACGTAACGCTTCTCAAAAAGAAAAACTTCTTTCTTAGGGAGCGGAGCCACAGCAGGAGCCAAAAGGAGCCAAATTACACCACCCTCTGGGACCGACCACCTTACCACAGAAAGTCTCTCTGAATTTGGATGTCAGCTTTTCGATCACACCATAGGTCTCCACATAAAAGACGTGTTCATCCAGTGGTTCGCTGGCCATTATCCTCAGGGACTGCATGTCTGCCCGGTCTACCCCAACTGCATAGATCTCAATGCCAGCTGTCCGGGCGCTTGCTGCCACATCTTGCACCTGGTCTTGTGGGCGTCCATCTGTCACAACAATGACCACCTTGGGGATATTGAAGGTTGCTGGCCGGGTGCCCATTTCCTCAGTGAAGACTTCATCCATGGCAGTTTGGATGGCAAGGCCGGTCATTGTGCCGGCAGACAAGGGCTCAATGTGAGATATTGCCTCCTTCATAGATGGTTTATCAAAATAGGTCCGGAGAGGAAACTCTACCTTGACAGTGCTGGCATAATTCATGACCGCCACGCGGGTCGTTCTTTCACCGACATCCAGAGTATCAATCATTTTTGACAAAAAAATTTTCACTTTCTCAAACTCTTCAGGTCGGACACTACGGGAACTGTCTATGATGAAGACGAGGTCTAGGGGCCGGTTCTTGCAGGCAGAATCTGTCAAGAAGGAAGGAAAACACTTCAGTTATCTCCTACACAGGACCGGAGCTCTCACCCTAGGGCAGTGAGAGCTGTCAAGGCAAACTACTCCTACCAGATAAATGCTGGCACTCTTGATTCTTTAGAAAGAGGCTTAACATTATTATAGTGAGCACAACATTAGACATTCTTAAATATTAATTTTGACTAGTAATAAATAATTGAACACTTCTAAGCATTAAAAGATAGGTACACATTTGAGTCCACAAGATATCTAAGTATCTTTGAAACAAAGGGTGGTAGCTCAAACATAACAGCCAAGACAGGAGTGTAGCAATGATATATATATATGTACTTACTTTTTATTTTTATGAAGCCTGAATTCCATTTTTATAAGCCACAGATATAAAAGGGTAAAACAACTGGATAGATTACATAGCGAACAGATCTTAACAATATTTTTTAGGATAGTAACAATATAGATTGCTGATTAGGAATTATTTCTTGTTTGTCACTTACAATCCAAAGTACACAAGAAGAAGAAATAAAGGCCAACAGGAAAAAGATGCAAATGATGCTGTGATAAAGGCTTCTAGAGTAGAGAAATAAATGAACTTATTATTTATGAAGTAACTTTACATGTAAAAATGAACATTTACACAAGTATTTCTAGCTTCTAAAATTCCTCACTGACATATAAATCTAGACTGAAACAGAAAAGCCGTAGCTCAGATCAGAGACAAGCATCACTTCTAGAAAGATGAAAAATAATCAAGACAGCAACAGCAGGCAACCTGAGCTCTACTCTCTCAGTCCTGATATCCTGACATTGATGATACCATCAAGGTATGGACTTGTACTGCTGGTTTATGAAAACCAGGCAATCCAAAAGCACAGTATTTCTACAAGAGAGTTCCTGCTCAACAGTGCATTAAATAGCAAAGTATGAGGTGTTCAGTTTGAATATACTCCCTGAAGAGCTGTTTTGGGAACCTGATGCAGCCAGCTACTATCTAGTTGACTTTTATTATTCCATTCCATTCGTGTTAAAAAATAAAAAAGAAATCTTCACACTTCTCTTAAAAGTAGAGGTGAAAACAGCACTTTTTTTTCTAACGCATTAAAAACCTTTTTTTTTCTATTGTGCAAGTTAAAAGGGAGGGAAAAGATCAAATTGCATAGATAGATCTTACTTCCATCAGGAAACACAGCAGTAGCGCTGATTTTGCCTTGGGACAGAGAGATGGATTGGACAAATTTAGGATCCCATCCAGGTATATTACATATAATGCTACACACAATCCTATAACTCAGTTTTTCCATAAGGATTTAGGAGAATGGCTTTGCGCCCTTTGGAAAGCTGAGAAAACATGAAGAAATTTTTGTGCATGCATGTGTAACGTAAGATATGAAAGAGACACAATGTTTGTCCTACAAAAAAAGACCAAATCCCAGATTTATAGGCAAAAGAATTCTTTTTCAGATTAGGGAAAAAAAAAACCCTAAAAAAAAACCCCAAAACCCCACAACTTTTCAGTAGCCTGATCCTTCTGTGAGTCTGGAAGAGACGTTTTGACAAATGAACGCAGGTGAGGGCAGAGTTCTTTAGGTTCTGGAGATTAGCAAGGCCAGCTTCGCATAATAAAAAGTAGTCGGTACTTCTGCCTACAAGCGAATGGTTCACGGACCGCTGCAGCTACAGCAAGATATCCCTGAGGCATCGCTCTCCCGCAATCGTTCGTAAAACTAAGGGTGCAAGGAGACACGCT